GTTTCATCTTAGATATTGTATTGCAGCAACACAAAGCTAACACGTAAAGTATGGGAGGAAATACCTTGTGAAACATGAGATTCATAAGATGTGATAAGTATAGATAGTACATAAGTTACCTGTGAGGTATGCTGAAGATAGAATAAATGGAACATATCTAGGTTGAGCACAGACAGTAAAGAGGCACACCAGAGTGCCATTTACTTGGGTGTGGTGGCACATGCCTGCATTCCCAGCGCTCCAGAAGCTGAAGCAGGAAGATCACTGCAAGTTTGAGGCCAGTCTGAGGTACGCTGAGTTCAAGGCCAGCCTGAACTACATAGCCAGACCCTATCTCAGATGAAAAAAGGTGCCATTTAAAGATAGTAAGGGGTGCCAGGCGTGGTGGCTCATGCCTGTAATCCCAGCACTTTGGAGGCTGAAGCAAGAGGATCGCTGTGAGTTCGAGGCCAGCCTTGGCTACAAAGGGAGTTCAAGGCCAGCCTGAAATGCATAGTAAAACCCCGTCTCAAAAAGAGAAAAAAAGAAAGAAAGAAAGAAAGAAAGATAGTAGGGGTGGCTACTGTGGCTTTCCTTTTATTTTTCAATTTTCTTCCTTTTCTTCAGCCCAAGTTCTGTCTGCAGAGCCAGTTTCTCCTTTACCCTTTACCCAAAATTAGAAACAACAATAAAGATAGAAAAGGATAGAAGGACCAAGTAAATCTTAGGTGTTCATAAGACAGGGATCATGGCACTTCCAGAGTGACAACTGTATTATCCCTAAATCAAACACGCATTGGCTAGATCCGGTCTCACATGTGAGCTGCCCAAGAAACACAGATAAAACCCCCAGGCGCTCGGCAGGCTACTTCACGCCAAGTTACAGCAGCAGGGAGACATACTCGCTCCTCTAAAAGAGCAAGTATGTGTCGGCAACATCTATCTGCTCACACCCAACTCTGGTGTTAGGGCTTGTCTAGATATCCCCTAAAGATTTTGCACTCATAAGTGGAGCTCTTGGGAGGTGGCTGGATGGCGGGTGTGTGATACTGGGATTAAGGGTATCTGGCCCTGGATTAGTCCACTAATTGTTTTAGCATAGTTCTGGGTGTGGCTGATTGGATTTCCTGAAGACAAAAGCCCCACACTGGGTGTGAGTGGCACCAAGCAATAGGCTTGTGGCCTGGATGGCATATAAAGGGAAGGGAATGCTTGCTGATGCTGCTTCCTGCCTACTACTGTTTCTCCTCTGCTAGGCCCCTCCCAGGCCTCAATGCTTCGGAACCTCGCCTATGGACTGAAATATTTACACTGAGCCAAAATAAACCTTTCCTCCTTTAACTTGTGGGTGTCGAGTATTTTGTCCCAGCAATGAGAAAGGCTGCTAAGACATTTGATCTCCATGTAGTATCAGTGATGAGTGCTGATTTAGCAAGGACAGGACATCAACAGCAGCATTAAGATTTAAACGTGATCCTTCCATCCTATGCTCACACCCTATTGTACGTATCTTAGCTTATTCCATCTCTTTCCCTTTGCTGTGTTTTAAACTGATTTTAACAGGTTGCTGCTTGTGTGCTCATTCATTGCGGACCTGATACTTTTGTAAAATAGTAGCTGAGGAGATTCTGGTACTTGCCATAGTTGCTGAACACCTCAAGGAAGGAGTTGATGAGAACAACAGTGACACTAATTACAAGGTGGCAGGGCAGGATGGTTCTGTGGTGCAGTTTAAGAGGCACACACAACTTGGTAAACTAACACAGCCTACAGTGAACGTCAGGGTTTGCCAGTGATGCAGATTAGATCAATGGGCAGCCAATCAATGAAGCAGACACACCTGCACAATTGGCTCTCGCGACTGCAGGTACAATTCATGTGTTCCAACAGCAGAGAGGAAGCATCTACTAAAAAGGGAAACTGCTGCTTTATTTCAGAATGGTATTCCTATAGACTAAGAAGACAGTGTCAATTAGAAAACTGCAATTTGGCTCCCCTACTTCCTGACTACAATGATTTCTTCATTTTCTCCTTCCCAATTTTTATTGTACGTAAGAGGTAACTGGTGTATGTACATAAGCATATTACCTTTTTTCTCTAACTAAATGGATGGGATGGGGGAAAATATGGTTCTGTGAAAATATACCTTCCTTATCAATTAGTGAGTATCGTGCTCATTCAACTCTTACCTTTATATTCTGGTTATTTTGGTATTTTCACAAAAAAACATAAAGTCCCTGAATACTTTGTTTTTGTTTTGTTTTTTGAGACAGGTTTTGGTATGTAGTTCAGGCTGGCCCGAACTCACTATGTAGCTCAAGGTAGCCTCAAATTTGAGGTGATTTTCCTGCCTCAGCCTCCTCAGTGCTGGGATTATGGGCATGCACTACCACAGCCAGGTAATCCCTGAATATTTTGATAGGATTTTTTTTTTTCACTTATCACATTAAAACCAAGAACAATTTTATAATTGCTTTGTATGTCACTGTTGGGTAGAGGGCAATCTGTCTTTAAGTAGGGATAAATTACTCAAAATACTAGCTTTCCCTTCAAATTAAGTATCTTTTTTTCTGGTCTTTTTGAGACAGGGTCTTGTTATGCAGTTCAGGCTGGCCTTGAGCTCACTTTGTAGCCCAGGCTGGCCTGGAACTCTCTCAACGATCCTCCTGCCTCAGCCTCCTGAGTGCTGGGATTATAGGCGTGTGCCTCCATGCCCGGCTTCAAATTAAGTCTTGTTTAAACTACTTGTTTACAATGAAAGAATTACTAATAAATTGTGAGATTCAACATCTCAATTTAATCCAAGCCTTTGTTTCATGACCTCTGGGATAGCTAAGAACTTAAAAGCTACCATACACAGAAGCTAATTTCTCACCCCAGTGTTTTATAACACCATAATAAACTACACAACCTTATGAGAAAGAAATGATTATTCTTATTCTGTAGATGAGGAAACTGAGTCTCCAACAGACGAAGTAACTTGTCCAAGGTAATAGAGCTAATAAATGAAGGACCTAGAATGCATAGCCACGATATGGTTTCAAGATCCACACTCTTTTCATAGGTTTGTTCCTTTTTGTATCTTCAATACTACCTAATGTGATGCCTGATAGATACTAGCCATATTGTTTGATTACTTCAAATGAGTAAGTTCTTGCTCTTATTTGCCATGTAGCTTATGGTAAACTAAGTTCTTTGAAACTCGGTCTCCTCAGAATTTATGTGACTATTCTTTAAAGTTAACGTAAAAAAAAACTTCACTTCTTTGGCACCTCATAACTGCTTTAAGGACCAACTCTCTCGTTCTAGGCTAGGTTTGAGGAAGTAAAGTCTCTGTTGTACTTTATCACACTCCAGCGAGGCGGCCCCAAAACAGGCGCACGCTGTTTAAGTCACAGTGAGGTTCCCGCCACACTTCAGCTTTAACGCACTAACACTTCGTCCACCTCGTTTTTGCTGGACCAAGTTATTCTTCCTGTTGCGGCTCTCTTCAGGCAGCTCCGTGTGCACGGTATTAATAATTAGTAACTTCCTGGGTTTTTTTTTTTTCCGGTACCGGGAATCGAACTCACGACCTCGCGCTTGCCAGGCAGGCGCTGTGCGGCTGAGCCGAATGCCCAGCCCCCTTTCTTTTTTTTTAGTAATTAGTAACTTCCCGGCAGGAGGTCCCTCTCCCGCCACTCCCCCTTCTGGTCTTGGAAAGGCGGGACCAGGGAGACTCTGGAGCGCACCCTCTTCTCACTCCTTTTTCTGTTTCATTGTTTTACTCTGTAATTAGCACTTTTTGTCATCGTTATGTTGTTTTCACCCCGAATTGAGGGTTCCGCCGCTTTTCCTGCGGGTGACCTTGGTTACTCCCCCGGCTCCACTCCGCGCAGGCGGCCGCTCCACCTGCCCCAGAGGCGTCGAGCGCACCGCGAGGTCGCTCGCCCAGGGGCGAGGGGAAGCGCCACGCACGCCCCTGCGGTCGCCGGGGAGCGGCTCACGGCCGTTTCCCCGCGCGCCTGCGTCCGCGACGTTCCACTCCTCAAGCCCCCGACTCACGTTTCCCCGCCGCTCTCTCTCAGGCGGCTGCAGTATAAACCGCGCCAGCGCTCCTCCCGCAATGAAGTCAGCGTGTGGCTCACCAGGCCCCACGCGTCGTGAGTGCGTCCTCCACACCGCCCCGCAGCCTCGGGACAGGCGACACAGCGCGCCCCTCCGCGCTCCCGGGGACCAGGGCCGGCTAGGAACCTCAGCTGAGAGAGCGCGCGGGCCACCCGGCCGGGAGCGCCAGGGGCGGGGCTAGCGCGGGGGCGTGGCCCTGAGCGGGGCTGGGCGAGGCCCCGAGGCCTAAACACCGCCCCTCGGGGGTAGGTGGGAGGCGGAGCCGGCGCGGGGGGCGGGGCAGCGCGAGTGGTCGGGGCCCAGAGTTGAATCGGGGCCGCTCTCCGTGGGCAGGCAGAGGCAGGACCTGCCCAGGACCTGTGCGAAAGAGAAACCCTCCGGGTGCGGAGGGGCGAGGCCGACTCCGCAGAGAAGGCGGCCTCCGTAGGCGGTGCTTGAGGCGGGGCCGGCGTGGTGGGCGTGTCCAGGCGGGAGGCGGGATCGGCGTGGTGGGCGTGTCCAGGCGGGAGGCGGGGCCTGGCCCGGCTAGAGAGTCGGTGCAGATCCGGCGCGGAAGAGGGTCGCTGAGCGCGCGGCGGCGCGGACCCGTGGGCTCCCCGGCTTCCGTCCGAGTCGGGCGGGACCCGCGGCGCTCGGTTCCCGGCTCCCCGCGTCGCGCGGA